AATTGTAGTTAAAATGTTAAAGCGAGCATTACTGAATAATATACATATATATGATGCTTGTGGAATGGATTATGTTCTTAAATTGTTTTATCTATTATTTAATATTTTAATTACAAATATTGATAGAACTGATTTTATTAAAGTAATTAAATATTTTAAAAATTGATATATTTAGTTTTAGTTTTTATGCAGTTTCATGAAATACAACACAATATCTCTCTTGTTTAATTTATATTAAATTTATATCAATTATATACAATTCTAACACATAAGATATATCTACATCTATGTAACAGTGAAGAAAAAAAATGTTTATAATTAAAAATTATAGTAACATTAAAATTAAAATTTATTATCATGAAAAATGTTAGATTTATTATGAGATGAATTTGATTAAAACATTTTTTTTTAAACTTTTTAAAATAATTTCAAATAGTATGATTTTGATGAACATTATGTTTGTTTAATACTGCAAAATTGATGTAATTAAAAAATTATAACGTATCAACTACATATACGAATTAAATGCAATTTATAATTTCTTTATTTAGAAATTGAAATTTTTAAATAATTTCTTTAAAATTATGCTTTGGAAATATATATTAAATATCAAAAAGTTAAAAAGAAACATCTAAAAACATAAGTATATAACTTATTAAAGAACAAATAACTAAATCAGAGTTTTAATTATTTTTATCTTTATAAAAAACAAGTAGATTTCATGAACAATTATTTTGTAAAAATAATATATATACTAAAATGAATATATCAATGAAATTTCTGTTATATATTATTTTCATGAAATTTTGATTATTTTCAGTATGTATAAATTTGACATTCTTTTTTTAAGTTTAAAAATGTTTCATAAAACATGTATAAAATTTACTTTGTTTTGTTAACATACTTACAATCAATTTTTTGTTACATTTAATATAATTTAAACAAGAAATAGCCGTCGTAAAACAAGTAAAATTATAGCTGATACTAAAGAAGCAATTAGAATGCTCCAAAATAAATCGTTCGATGATGACATTGTTTCTATTTGTTGATTTATTATGATGGTTGATTGCTGTTGATCTTCAGTCTCATTAATTGGTTCAACACCACGTTGTCTCAGTTGATTTTCTGAAATGCCATCTGTATTAAGTAAATAGGATGTATCAGATGTGGGTGAATCATCAGCCTAAAAATGTAATATTTAAAAATATATAAATTGAATTATCAAAGTTGATATAAGCGACATAAAAAAGTACCTTTAATGCTATTGTATTTAACATAGTTTGTTCTTCTTCTGTGATGGGTTTTTTAACAGTATTTTTAGACAACAAATCAACAACTTTGCCACACGTATCACATTGCCAATTTAAAGATCTACGATAAAAATTTTTTTAAGTATTTTTTTTCTATTTATAATATTTAGATTTAAGATTTATTTTAATTACTTTTTTGCAAGTTTCTGCCTTTCTTCTTTGCTATAATCTAAAGAACCAATTGTTCCATTTCCTGGTGTTGGCATAAAAGCAATTAAAGCCAATAAAGCTGTTCTGATGCTCCATGAAGGCTGCCATGTCTCTGGATGATGTCCAGAAATGCTGAGGCAAATCTTTTTATTAGTTTCAAAACGTCCATTAGGCTAAAAAAAAAATTCATAGACTTAATTATTCAATATATAAATTAAAAATTAAACATACTTCATATTAAAATTACTTACTGTTAAAAGTATAATATTTGGAGGTTTCATTGGATATTCTGGTGGTAATAAAATTCTACCATGATAAATACCACCTTCAAAATCTGTAGATGGTGGGCCTTGCACAGTAAAATGCCATTCAAAAAGATTGTCTTCTAAAGGAGATGCACAATATTCTTCTGTAGCTTCATGAAGTTCTTGAGCTTCCCTCATTAATCTTTTCACAGCTGAAATTTTATTTATTAGATGATATAAAACTTAGTGTGACATTACATATGGTATTGCAATAATTAAATGCATTTAGTTGTAAATATCTAAATAATACATAAAACTTATTTTTATATTAGAAATATTCTATATATATGTTGGAAAGAAAATCCAATGACACGTTATCATTAAATAACGTTAATTTATAAATAAACATTCTACGAAATTGTTATACATATACATATATATATATTGTGAATTCATAAATACAAATTATAATCGTAAAGATACAGAAATGAATGATAGAATTTGTACTTTTTTAATAACTTACCCGGGCTTTTCGCGTTGTACTTCCCTTCGAATGACATTTTTGCGAGTATGTCGACCGAGGTTAACAACTGGAATAAAAATAGTACTTGAGCTAAGTGCTATCTGTCTTGTCAGACGGCCTCGATGCATCGACGTAGCCAGTTACAATACATTCTTCACATTTTTTGTTACAATGAATTCAATTAATTGAAAAGGATACGTTGACTTAAGTATAATGACAAAAATAATTTTGACGTGGCCTAATAGGAGCGGCGCATACAAAATCCCACAAAAAATAATGTGAAAGTGGCCGCGCTTATCCCGTGCAGGCGCACTTACGTCAATTTCACCACTTGAAGTTGTTTGCTTATGAATACATGCAGAAGTTAAGTCTAAAAGTTTTATCTCCAAAAATGTCAGATATGTAGAATTTATTTAATATTATATAATCTTTGAAATTTATATCAATGTATATTCATTAAAATTTTATAAAATTATATTATATTAAATTATATTAAATTACATTAAATATTATATTATTGTTTTATTTAATATTCTTCTTATAAACACATTGCTTTTTGAAAAATTGATGTCATAAATTATAATATTATATATTTAAATTTAAAAATATTTTAAATATTAAAAAATT